TTTGGAAAGCTAAGCTAGGGGATGAGATCTCAACTATAACTTAAAAGGACTGACTCCACTTCCAATGACAAACTCTGTGACCTCTGATGGCACAGGTCACAGAGTTTGTCATTGGAAGTGGACAAGTGGAAAATGGACAAGCGGACAAGGGACAAGCGGACAATTCATCAGGAAGGAATTTGTTCTCTTAATTAACCTACCCCTTGGAGAGGATCTACTTGGACCCATCAAATTCCAATTGGTAGGAAAAAAGGTCCAGACAATTTTCAGGCCAAGTCCAAATATTGCATGAGCTAGTTTGGTGTCAAATGTAACAGTTGTGTATGTTTTAGTGGCTCCACAGTTAGACTTGTTGGACACTAAGGAAGCCATCCATCAGAGAATCGGGGAGTTCGTAATTTAATGAATACCCTTTCTTTTATTACTGCTAACATTATACATTATTCTGTATTTTCTTAAGCTGTATTTATTTGGATGATTCTAGCCACCTGTTTATCTTTTTTATCATCTTTTATCATCTTCCCTTTAAAGATGCTTAAGCAATGTGTGTTGTTTGTTTACAGAAAACTTATGCATATTTCTGGTTTTGTAACATGACCATTTGACCTTAGGGGCAAATCATACTTACAATGTCCTTTGTCCTCTGAATCAAGCCATATAATTTCCATCACTGTCAATGCTGCCAACTGTAAGTGGAGACAGAGACTACTGCAATGTGCTGATCTGATTTCATAAACATTTGGTTCTACTCATATCACGTGCATATTATGTGAGATATATTATATACAAAGGCTTAGGCCCTCATAACCTGAGGATTTATTCTGTCTGTCCCCCTTATTCATCTTTGTCTTGCTGCTTGGAGGTTGGCATTTGTGCACAGATTGCTGTGAAAATGCCCATTAACGCCTAGAGAATATGGAAAATGGCTTGGGCAGATGTAGGCAGCTGATGCTGATTTGGGTTAACAGCCCCTTTATGTCAATGTCCACATTCTGGAGCTGATTAAAAATAAGATTGCTCCAACACTCAGAACTTATCAGCTATGTGCATATGTATTTTTGTATCAGGATATATGAACCTAGAGAAAGATGTAGACTACAGTTAACTTTTAACATGGGTTGTCACAGGTGGCTAGGATAGGGGCGATTATTAACTTTTACATATACAATTTTATATTGTTTGATGTATTACATCAGACACATAGTACTTTCAGAAAAATCCAGTAAAATAAACAAAACACAAGTATAATTTGACAAAGAAAATATTTATAAACTAAATTAGTGATTCTCCAAATTTTATGTGTATTCTTGTGGATCTTGTTAAACTGCACGTTTTGATTCAATTGGTATTGTCTAGTGGAGCCTCTGTTGTTGCATTTCTCTTTTCTTTTTTTTTTTGAGATGGAGTCTTGCACTGTCACCTGGGTTTGAGTGCAGTGGCGTGATCTCAGCTCACTGCAACCTCTGCCTCCTGGGTTGAAGCAATTCTCTTATGTCAGCCTCTTGTGTAGCTGGGAATACAGACACTTGCCACCATGCCCAGCTAATTTTTTTGTATTTTTAGTTGAGATGGGGTTTCACTGTGCTGGCCAGGCTGGTCTCAAACCCCTGACCTTGTGATCTGCCCGCCTCAGCCTCCCAAACTGCTGGGACTACAGGGGTGAGCCATTGCACCTGGCCTGTTGCTGCATTTCTAGCAAGTTCCCTGGTGATACCAATTTCATGAACCAATCTATGGACCACACTTTCAGTAGCAATTAAAATAGGAGAAAGATAACAGAACTTGTTCCTTATCAATAAAAACAAGATGGAAGCAGTGTTGTCATTATTCTATTTCTGTTTCTCCTTAAAAATATTCTAGTAATTTCTAAAATCTAGATGAAATTTAAAATACTTCTTCAAACCAGACTAGAGAAATGGTTTAATAGGCAGTCGATTTCTATAGCACAGTGCTAGCAGAATAAGCATCCTCTATAAACAATTATATATAACTCAATCAAGCATACATTTACTAGAAAAGCATTTGCTTTCAGAGAATTAGATGCTGTCCGTTTTCACCAAGAATTTATGCTCTTATTACTAAAAATAAGAAAAATTATTATTGGCTCTCAGAGAGTAGCATTGTTTGTAGGAAAATGGGAGACATAACTGTTTAAAGTCAAGGATAAGGTTAGTACAAGGAGCACACAAAGAAGGCTCGGATCACCCAGACGAGCAGCTGAACTTGGAGTAAGTTCACGGGACCATTAGGGCTGGATGGCATAAAGAACCCAGGTTGCCTCTTTAGATGAAGTCATTGTCTGTAGAAGGTGACTCTTGGATGATTGAGAGAAGCTTAGAGTTTTTCCTAGGTTCAGGTTTCACGCAGCCAAAGTGGGATTAGCTGCTGATTAGCCAGGAATTGCTGACTAGGATCAGCTCTGTTTAGCAAAATCTCATTCTCCCCATCACATCCTCATATTCAATTACTCTGACTAAAATAAGTATTTGGGTTGTGTCTGCCAGATGGTCAGCTTTCTTTTCCCTAGAAGAGTTGTTCATTAAAGTGGATTAGGGAGAAAAATACTTGGTAGAAAATGTATAAATAAATGAATTACTTATTATATCTTTGTTCTGTTATTTGAAGATCCCATAAGGGAAATAGAAAAGAACAGAAATACTGTTCAGCTTGAATTCCTGCTGTTTCCAAAGCAGATTAGGCAGACAGTATGCCAGACCTCCTGTATCTTTTGATACCATTCTGCAAGCATGGCTTATGGTGCATATAGTTCATGACTTATTGCAGTATGGATTTGTTAGTAATGTTTTGCCCATTGTCATTATTGAAATAGATAGCTGTTTAAAAACATGATCATTCTCATTTGATTTTTAATGTACATTTTGTTTGTACATGACTTTATTTCATTTAGGGACCTATTTTTTTCACAATGGAAGATAAAATGTAATTTGTATGAAATACAATGAGAATAAAGAACTTCTACCACAGAAATTGGATTTGAATCAGTTTTTCACAATTGTGTTCATGGTATTAAGCAGAAGTTACTGATATTACTGTTTGCAATTAAAATATAACTAGTTCTGTAACATAGAAGGAATGGATGTTTCACATTTCCAGTTAGCTGTGGTGAATTGATGACAATTTCATTCAATAACCTAGTCAAGTCTGTGACCAGTGACAGTATAGTATGTCAATATGTGAGTATTTGCAAATTAATGCTCACCTTACAAAATCAAATAAATTTGGAATTACTTGAATTTGCTTTGAGTAAATAATTTTGATGAGCTGCATTTGCTAATTCTATTTTCGGACTTACTTAGCCTTTTGTGTCTTATTTATTTTGATTTTATTGCCTTCCTTTTGAAAGTTCTACTAGTAGATTCTGTGTAAAGCTGCTTTTTAATAGAGTTGTGAGATTCTAAGCATTTTTATCTGTACTGAAGAAATAATAAATGAACCTATACTTCTTTGCCAATGGATCTCTTATGTCTATTGACTTCCATATGCTACCCATTAAAATAATGGGTTTCCTTATGTACATCTGGCAGAGCTGTTTGCTCTTTTCTTTCTTCACTTCTGCCCTCTCACTGCCTCTCCATTTCTGATGTGACTGTCATCTCTATGTAGGCAACTTATACATCTATCCTCTGTGCATGGTTTCTGTCCTAAGCTTCAATTTCACTTCTCTTTCCTCCTCCTGATGACTTGGTAGTCTTCCCACTTAAAATTGAACTCAACTTTTTCTCTTGAAATCATTTCCTACTCTAGGTTTCCGTATTTCTTTTCAATACGCTCCCACTCCTACTGCAACTCAAGACTTCAGTCTTCATGCCTTTATGCCTTCCTTTCCCTCCCATCCTTAATGTAGATCTCTATCACTCAGGCCCTATCCATCAACTCCATTCTCATTTGTTATTTCCCATCACCACCACACCCTCACCCTATGCTTCTCATGCCTGGATTATAGCAAAGCTTGCTTGGCTGATCTTCCCATTTGCTCCCACTCGCCCCTCTTTCCTCATTTCTCATCTGGTTAATATGTGCTTTAGGACAGGGCTGTTCCTTAGAATTCTTGTATCCTCAGAAGAGAAATTCCCACAATATAGAATTCAAATCTTGTTTTTTCAAAGGAACAAGAGGTCATTTCTGATATTCACCATATGTCTCTGGTTAGAAATTTGAAACTAAATATGGTGCAGGCTTCATTTTAAAAATGTTATGCAGAACAGTTAATTTTCTGTGATTATCAGTTGGCTTGGAAGATCTCTACTTTTTTTTCTCAAGTTCTAAATTTCTCAACCCTAAATTTTCATAATAATGGCAGTATAAGCAGGATTGACATGCACAGCATAGGGTAGAAAAATCTATAATTTAATATACACTTTTATTTGAATAAATGTTTAAACTTAGCAAGAACACTTTTTCTCTTATTTTTTCTAGTTATATAAAGATTTTTAATTAACAATGGTAGATTCAACTGTAAAAAGAAAAAATAGACATAAGATATGGATTTTAAACAACTTTTCTTCTTTTTTCATAATTTGTTTAATCTTTCTTCAGTGAGAAAAACTTGAGAACATAGCACATGTATCTGAAGCTGTTTTCCTAGACACATGACATCTATGCTTTGGAGAAAAAATAGTACATTTTGCCATGCCAGTTACAGATGGACTTAGTTTTAAAACATCATTTTATTCATTAGCAAAAAAATGACAATGATAAAACAATAAAACCCACCATTACTGCCCCAGAGCCAGCAAACAAGAAACCCTGTATCTTTTTTTTTACACTGTTTTAAATCTAATGTTTTCTCATGCTTCTCTGACTGGTAAAGTCAATGTTATGTGATGATTTAGCAGACTTCTCTCCTCTACCCTATCTTCCTGATTCCACATATCCATTGTCAAAGGAGTCCTGTGAAGTTTGCTGGATATATGTCTTCAAAGATTACTCATTATTTATTTTTGTACTCAATGGAAGTTTTAGCTTTTTCTTATCTGCAGGCTGTATAAATCTCATGAGAATGCAGCTCATTCCAAGAACATAAATTCCTACATCTTTGTGGCAGATATCACATGTGGCCCTTTGTATCAACTAACTGAACAAACCTCAAGAGATGCAGGCCATCTTAATGGCCAGAATTTATGTTCAAAAGCAGAGGAATCATGTGGTAGGATCATTCTCTGTACCTCAATCCCAACTCAGAAACAATTTTCACTAAAGTTATCAGTAACTTCCCAAATTGCTAAAGCCAGTGGACATTTTAGTCATTTTCTGTGACCACTCAATAGTTACCTATTCCCTTTCTTTGAAAATTTTTTCTCTCTCTGTCTTCAAAATACCACTTTTTTTTGAATTTTTCCTTGTCTTCTGACTGCTCTTTCAAAGTCTCCTTTGATGGTGTCTCCTTCTCTTACCAGCTGATAATTGGAGATACAGACTGAGTCCTGGGCCCCTTTCTGGTTGGACTATCATTTAAACCATGATGCAGATGAAAATGCCTAGATGAAGAGAATGGACTACTCATGCTCTTCATCTAGGCATTTTCATCTGCATCATGGTTTAAATACTAGCTCTATAAATAAATCAATCACAAATTTTAATTTCAGGTTCACAAGGAGACCAGACCACATAGTCAAAAGTCTATTCTAAAATTCATTTGAATGTACTATTGGCATCTTAAACATAATCTTTATCTCCAAAGATGCTCCTTAGCTTTCCTTCTCTCCATAAATGGCATTTCTATCAACCCCGTGGTATGAGCCAGAAGTTAGAAGTCATCTTTGACATCTTTCTCCCTCAATCCCCACATCCTGATGACTTCTTCAAGCATATTTTGAATCTCTCTGTGTCTCCCCATCTTTTTCTTCCCTATACTGGCTCAACTCACAATCACAATTCTCCTGCAAATATTTTCACAGCTTCCAAGCATCCTAATTGTTCCTTATCTTCCTAATAGCTCTTCAGCATCCTTACTTATGTCCTCAATCCTTTTTCTATACTGCAGAAGAGAATTTCCCTTCTGCTTGAAGTTTGTAATAACTTCTTATTGCACTTAGAATAAAACCCAAACTTGTCTAGATGGCTGGTGCACAAGGTTTGGTGGGATCTGATTCTCGCCTGCTTCTTTGGCATCAGGTTGTGCTTCTTTCTTTGCTCATCATAGGTTTTTAGTTCCTAATTTTTGAAACATGCTTTTTTCCTGTCTCATGGGCCTAGTATTTCAATTTCTGGGACACCTTTCCCCACTGTTGACTGAAAATACTTGCTCATTCTTTAGTAATCAGCCCAAAAGTCACCTCCTGAAAAATGTCCTCTAACTAGGTCTCTCTGTGATAATCTCTTATTATAATACTTATTATATATCCTTATAAATATTTTATTATTTATTTTTCACTCCTAGAATTTATATTGCCCTGTATCTGAGAGATTGTATCTCTCACATCTCATTTGCTAGAACACTCAAGCCCTAAAGTTTCTCTCTCACTCCCTCTAGATTGTTTTCCTCTTTTCTAATGCTAGATACACAGAATTGTGCTCTGAATATGGCCATCTCTTCCTAGCAACCTGCTTAACAAAGTTATATTTGGAGCTTGGAATAGTAGGATAATTTATACCATGCAAATTAGTAAATGCTGTAAATCAGGCACCCCTCTCCCCGGCTAGTTATTAAGCATTTGCTACCAAACCACAGTCCACATATAAGTGCATATACAGTTTACTAAGCAATTGTGTTAAGCACCCAACTGGTATGCACATTTCCTCATTTAATAGAATAATCATATAGTAGATATTGACATATCTCCATTTTACAGGTAAGGTAATAACTTTGGAATTGCCAGATGTTCATCCCCTCATATAGCATATAGTTGGCATTGAATAAATATTTTTATGCAATTGAATGAATAACTTGGGAAAGATATGCCTGCAAAAAAATTATGTACCCTTTTTATATTCCCTCTGATAAGATTCTGTTGCTGCCCACCTGCAAATTTTAGTAATGTTAATCTCCTGTTTTAAACATTTTTAAATTGTAGAAGATATTCATGTTTTTTTAAGTATCCTATTCCAACTACCTTCTCGATAGCAGTAGTAAGTAATATAAGACAGTTTAATATTCTCTAGAAAGTTCAAGGGAAATAAATAAGAAGCAAAATTTAGGTAGAAGGCCAAACTGTCTTTCAGGTCTAAAGGCAACACACTGATCTCCTTGAAAATAAAATAATTCAGGAAAATCAAGTTATTCTTGAATAATATTCCATACTATGCAATCCAGCCAACCAAGAGGTGAATCAAACAAAGAACAAATGGAAAAGTTGTAATAGAACTAACATTATGCTTTAAATCATTTTCACTTTAAAACTGGCAAAAACTATGAGAATTTTAATTGTAGAACTGAATGAAGATGGTAGAAACATTGAGCATATCAAACAATACAATAACAAACAAGATATGAAGGAAGATAAGGAGGAAGAAATGTAAGATTAAGACTTTTTCTCTTACAGAATGTCAATGAGTATTGACTAAAGTTAAAATTATTCTAATTCTTAAAGGTTTTACATATTATATTTTTAACTGGAAGAATCTGTCTAAAGTGTAGCTGTTTATTCAGTTTTACTCTGTTTTCTTCTGTTACATTCAAGTAAAATCAAGTTCAAGCTTTTTATCCAAAAGTATACTACATAGTATGGATCTAGTTTAATAAAATGACCTTTGTCTGTCTGTAAATCTCATCTACTTTTTTTTTTTTCTGCTTTCATGAAGCCTATTTTTGAGAGAGAGGAGGCAAGTTCAGTCCCCAGCCCCTTAATATGGCTTCTGGTCATGAGTCCTCAGTAAATGGTAACAGTGGCAGTAGAGATAGAACAGTGGTGGAGGTGGTGGTACAGGTGGAAGTGGTGGTAATAGTGGCAGTATTATGCATCAAGGTATAGGCATTAAGGATCACTAAGCAACAGCAATCTCAGCATTAATTATTTATGCTATGTTGAGTACTATAGGGAGGCTATAGAGGAAATTTGTTAACAGCCTAGGATTTAAAATTAAATTTGAATCCTGGCTTCTTCACTTAATTGACTGATAACTAGACATACCGCTAAACTTCTGCTTCATTAACTGTAAAATATTATCTACATCTTGGGACTGTTCTTAGAATTAAATGAGGTAAAGCGTTTCCTCGACATATATGAAGTGTTCAATGCATGCTGATTGGTATAGCTGTAGTTTCTGCTGCTGCTGTCATTCCCTACTAAAAGAAATCACACTTTTCTTGTTAGTAAATTGATATTTATAAGTGTGATTTGCTTTTATCTAGCAAGGCTATAGAAATTCAAACACATTCTGATTTCCTGGACGTTAAAAACTCTAATGACTACTGAAGGGAAAAGCTTAGTTTGAAACAAAACAAAAGATTAGGCTGACCTACTGACTTCTATTCCATTTGGCTTCCTAAGTTCACGACTCAACATCCCCTTTCTGCTTCAAACATGTAGCAATGATAGAGAGAAAGTTGAAGGAAGAAAACCAATAGAACATAGCTGTGATTCAAAACAAGAGGAATATCTCCTTGGTCCCCAAATGTATAGAAATGAATGAGAATCCGTACAGGAGGCTGAAGCCAACATCTTTCTGAATTCTGCTTTGGAAGGAGGCAGTGGCAACCTGGAGTTCAGCTCCTCTGCCCTACCAAGAGGAGACACCAAAACCAGGCTCATTACTTGAAAACTGATTTTCGACTGGGAATGATTTTATTCCTCATAGAGTTATTTGCTTTCTTGCTATTGAGTTGTTTGAGTTGCTTATGCATTCTGGATATTAACCCTTTATTAGCTGTAGGTTTGCAAATATGTTCTCCCATTTTGTAGGTTGTCTCTTCACTCTACTGATTCCTTCCTTGGTTGTACAGAGCCTTTTTAGTTTGATGGAATCTTATTAGACTATTTTGCTTTTGTTGCCTATGTTTTTGGCATCATATTCAAAAATTTTTTGTGCCAAATATCATGGAGGTTTTCTCCAATGTTTTCTTGAAATAGTTTGAATTTTAGGTCTTACCCTTAAGTTTTTAATCTGGTTGGAGTTGATTTTTGTATATAGTGTGATAAGGGGGTCTCATTTCATTCTTCTGCATGTGGATATCCAGTTTTTCCAGCCCATTTATTGATGAGACTATCCTTTCCCATTTTGTATTCTTCACATCTTTGTTGAAAATCAGTTGACTAAATGTACTGATTTATTTCTGACTTTTCTGTGTCATTGGTCTATGTGTCTGTTTTTGTGTTAGTAACCATGTTGTTTTACTTGCTATAGTTTTGTAGTAGATTTTTAAATCAGGTAGTTTGATGCCTCCAGCTTTGTTCTTTTTTTGCTGAAGGTTGCTTTGGCTGTTAGGTTGCTTTGTGGTTTCATACAAATTTTAGGATAGCTTTTATTATTTCTATTAAAATGCCACTGGAATTTTGATAGTGATTGCATTGAATACATAAATTACTTTGAGTCGTATAGACATTTTAACAATATTAATTATTCCAATCTATGGACCTGGGATATCCTTTGAATTTGTGTTTATCTATTTCTTTCATCAGTTTGATGGGTTTCAGTGTACATAACTTTCATCTTTTTGATTAAATATATTCCTAAGTATTTTTTGTAGCTATTATAAATGGGATTGTTTTCTTGATTTCTTTTTCAGTTAGTATATTGTTAGTCGATAGAAATATTACTGATTTTGTATGTTGATTTTGTGTCCTGCAACTTTACTGAATTAATTGCTTAGTTCTTTTTTTTCCCCCATTTATTTATTTTATTACATTTTAGGTTTTGGGGTACATGTGAAGAACATGCAAAATTGTTGCATAGGTACACACGTGGCAGTGTGATTTGCTGCCTTCCTCCCCATCACCTACATCTGGCATTTCTCCCCTTGCTATCTCTCCCCAGCTCCCCACCCCCCACC